AAATATTTTATAGCACTCTCCTCATACTCCAAATCATAATTTTCTTGTTTGGGATGGATGATTCACATTAACTGTAGGTCTTTGGAAAACTTCCTCTAATTGTTAAAAAAGAAATTCCTTCAAATATGAGTTCTGTAGCAGCAGTACTGATCATCCAATCACAGACTTCTGAATTTAAAACTAAAATGGTTTTTAAAGGTTATAAAACCCAGCCCTTTTATTTTATAGGTGATAAAATAAGTTTCATTATCCCTCTGCAGCAGAGCTTCCCTTTAGCTATTATTAAAATATAGGAAGTGAATTCTAAATTGTCCACATTGAAAGGTTCATCTCCACTTCTAACACCCCGGTCTGACTACCGTCATTTCTCACTTGGAGGACCCCAATAGTCTTCTAACTCTTCTACCCTCATTCTTCTGCATTCTTATTTCAACACTTTAGAGACAACTTGTGATCATGTCACTCTTCTACCCACAACCTTTTAGTGGCTTCTCATTTTACTCACAATGAAAACCAAAATTCTATCAATGGGCCTATAAGGCTTTTAGCAATCAGTAGTTCCATCCCCACATGTGTAGAACTTATCTGCGCTACACTTCCAGTGGCAACCCCCTCTCTAATCCGCACCAGGAAACTGGCTGCTTGTATTTCTCTAACACATCAAGCATACTGTTGCAGGGGTCTGTGTGTTCAATGCTGCCCCTGGAACACTTTGCTACTGCACAGTACCTGAGTCATCTCCTGCCCCATGTCCATGCTGAATTCTCAGTGAGTGCTGTTATGATATACCACCCCCAATAAAGTCAACCCACTCTCTCTAATCTATGCTAATTTTTTCATTTATAGTTTTGATATCATTTATTATGCTCTAATGCATTATATAAGTTACTTATGTACTATGATTATCTCTCTGCTTCAATTTAAGCTTCATAAAAACAAAGATGTTCTTTTGTTAACTGATATATCTTTGGCAGCCATGAAAGTGTCTGGCACGTAATAGACTCCCAATAAATATTTGTGAATGCATAAGCACATGAAATGAATGAAGTCACCCTGACATTTAAAGCTGTGGTTGAGCTTTGACAAAATCACAGTGTTCATCATCCTTGTGCCCCTGCAGTGATAGTAGATCTTCCAAAATCGTGAGTGATTATCTTCTGTTTGTTAGGATCTGGTTCCTTGAGATAAAAAATTTCCCTGTAGATTCTATGTAAAACATTTAAAAAATATTTTATGCTGAGAAAGTAAGTTGGGTAACATGCAATACACTTTATAAAAATGTATCTTTACTCCTTGATAACTTTTATGGTAACAAAAATAAGAAGCAATAACTGAATCATTTCTTTGGCTGCAACATCAAAATGGGTGGCATAAAACAATGGACATATATTGTCTCATAGTTCTAGAGCCCATAAGTCCAACATTAAGATAGCTTCTGTGCCAGACTTAGTTTGAAAACTATGGAGGACCATCCTTCTTTGATTCTCATTAGCTTTTTGGTGTTCTTTGGCTTGTAGCTCCGTCACTTAATTTCTGTTATCTCACAGATTTCTCCCTGAGCTTCCTTGTCTTTCAGTGGTGATTTCCTCTTACATATATGGGAAACCATCTTATCAGATTTGGGCCTCCCTCAATGAGCTCATACTCCTTCCTTTACATCATCTAGTCCTTGTTTGCAAATCAAGTCATGTTCACAAGCATTGGTGTCTTAGTCACTTTCCTCATCATTGAAGGCCAAGAAATAGAGAGGAGGGAGGGTCCAGGAGGGAGACACACCTTCCCAGGCCACACCCAGCGATCCTCCTCTAACCAGGCCCCCCTTCTAACAGCACACTCAGCTACTGAGGACAGTGCCCCACGGGATCCAATCACTTTCCAACAACTCTCCCTCTGAGTGCAGGAGTCCTGGGGACATTTTAGATCTCTACTACAGCAACTGGGAATTGAGACGTCATAATTCAGTTGAGAACAATGAATTTTTTCATGGATAGCCATGCTTTGAGTGTGGTGAGAACTTCTTTTTGCTTCATTTATCAATACTGTTAAAAGGAAGCTCGTTACTGATCACCTTTTGTGTGTTCCCCTCACCTACACTGAAGAACTACTACAGCAGTTTCACACATCCTACTTCTCCACTTCTACAACACCCTTCTCTGACTCCCCTGGGATGACTAGCTCCTGTCTCCTTTCTCTCCTGGTTGATCACTTGTCATGTGGGTTCACTTTCCTGGGCACTTAAAACTTAGCTGGAATAGTTCTTCTCTTCTTCTGAAACATGACCTTTCAATTCTGCTTGTTTTGATGCACTTCATTGAAAATTCTCAGCCCTGGAAACCTCATATCATCTGATAATTCTCTTGGGTTCTCAGCATGTATGGGAAAATTACTTAACTTACAGACTTGCGTCAGTGCAATTTTGCCTTTTCTTATTTCAGGGGGCCATCAAAGTACCTCTTGAGGAACTCTGTATTTTGCCCTGGTCAACCTTTCACAAGTTTTCTACGGAAGCTATTACAGATCTTTATCACTCTTTTTAAGTCCACCTTACAATTACCTCTCTTCCTACTCCCCTTCTCCCCTGTTCTCTCATCATGAAATATCAAACAATTTATCACATGCCAGGACCTTGGCTATGAGCTTGAGTGAATAAGGCCAGTTACTGCTTTATGGGTCTTGCCAACTTATTTAATATACTTTCACATTTCATTAAGTAAGATAGAGCAGTAAGTAGATATCTACAAAAAGGGGTGGGGCACAATGCAATGCTAGAAGAGCCCATGGGGCCATCATGGGCTTCTGACAGTTCTCTGCAGGACACACTTGAAAGCTGAGATTTCAAAAGCTAGGATGGGGCAGAACATTTGAAGTAGAGACAAACTTAAGCAGTAAACCTTAGCACTGAGAAAGCATGGCAGATGTGGCGTGGTAAAAGTGCAGCCTGCACAGCTGCAGTATGGAGTGTGAAGCATGGTGGGAGGAGCAGGGCTGGGGGTGTGTATGGAGATGAAGCATACATTGGAGGCAAATCCGGTTTCTTTCATTCCTGACAAGTAGCATTTACCTCACAAGGCAGATTCACACTGTGAAGACTAAGTTTCTTAGTTTTTCTTCCCTACTCATCCCCAAACAAAACCACAGAAGCCCAAATTGAGCTGTATTGACATGGCTTCTTTCCCTCTCTCCCTCTGTCTCGAAGAGCAGCCGTCCCTTCCTTGTACCCCAGGTCCCACTTTCCTCGGCTTTTAATTGTGGATCCAGGTGAATGTGCTGCTCACCAAGCTGCCTCTGTGACTAACTCATGGCACAAACAATTTAACACATTTCTCTTGGTCCTTTTAGCTCATTATAAATTTTAGAATAATTTGTGTTGGAAATCATCGGGAGATTTTTATCAGGTTTTAGTAAATTTTTTGTTTTGTCCTCATAATACGATTTGAAGAGGCAGTTATGTGCACCTGTCCCAGTTGTCTGCTTCAGGACAGCTCGGAATAGGACAGGGAGCTTCTGGCTGTATGAAGTCAGAGGAGGAGGCTGCAGAGGACACCCTCTTCCTGTGAGCCATGGGTTGTAGGGTGCCTGGAAGAAGAAGCAGAGGAAGTGGCTGTAAATAAAGTACTTCTTCAAATGTACCAGTGGGAAACATTTACATTCCTGAAGAAATACTCATGTATAACATATTCATGGTTATTTTCTTTGGTCTAACTTTTAAATATGTATAAATACATGAATACAAACAGTATGGGTATCTACCCCTCCACACTCAATGCTCCTACTTACTCAGACGCACACTCTGTATGCCTGCAAGTCTCGCCCCTTCTTTGCTCTTTTTGACCCCTCCTACTTCTCGAATTAACATCTGAGAGTGTTCTGTGTGCTAATTCTGCTCTCCATCTTTTGTTCGTCAGTCTAATCCTTTACTTGCTTTCCTCAAAGTCATTACAACGGAGCAGCAACAATGATAAACATTCTTCTAAAACTGTTCAATATAGTGTGAACACGGAATAGTTTGGAAAAAACATGCCTGGGGAAATGATCATTTTGGTGAATTAGCCATTACTCTATCATTTAAAATGCTTAACTTTTGAATTAGCATTCTACATTGGGACCATCACCTTCTGTGTTCCCATTATCAAAATTCTCACTAGAATGTTAATTTTTACCAGTTTTTCTCATTATGAAAAACATAGAAATAATTAGAGGTGATAATTTTCTGTTTCTACTCCTCTGGGCTTATCTGTCTTAGCAAGTCTGAAATAAATATTTGCTAAACAAATTAATAAAATATACCCTGTTGTTTAAAGTTAATACCTATCTGAAAAAAAAAAAAAAGTTAATACCTATCTGTGTTTTAAAAGGTCATCTAATTCAGTGTCAATGAATTTCTCTTTGAATCTGATTGTCTTAGAACAGCTTTTAAAAGGTGATGAAGTTTCAGAATTGGATAGAGTACTCCTGAGACATAAAACTCAGAACCCACAAGTAGATTTTGACTTATCTTCAGTTTTTGGAGGTTTTCTAGTCAATATACTAAGCCGAGTTTCTAGAGATGGTCTGGAGTTTTGAGCAGGAATGGGTAGGATGTGAGGGTGGGCAGTGTCCATTTTGGCAGGGCAAATGATCTGGAAATTGCAATTGGAAGCAGATGACAATCACATTAAGGGCCAGTGAGATGAGAGACAAGTTCATAAACTTGAAAGAAATTTGATTTGGGAAGAAAAGCCATGGATTATGTCAGTAAATAAGCTGGTCAAAGTGTTCCCTTTGACTTTAGTGTTGCACTGTCTATTGAGGTAAATATGATTATTATTGTTACTCAACTGAATTTAGAAAATAGATATTGATCTTTAAGAATTTGAAAGGGTGATCATATAAACATGGCTTAAAGCTTTGTAGCTTTAAAGGGACATCACTTGAATACTTTTTAGCCATTGCTTGGTAAACCAAGGTTTCTCATATGTTCCATATATATTTACATATACATATATGTTTTTTTTTTGCAGGTTTAGAGCAGTTTATTGGAAGAATGCAAGATTTTCGATTATACCAAGTGGCACTTACAAATAGGTAAGCAGATGTTGCATTGCAAACCTCAAGAAGTATAAGCATAAATGTGAAATTCACTCAAATAATTATTATTTACATAGATTATTACAATGACGATTATTGTATTTCTCACTTTACAGCATTTGGCAAACATCACTTAATTAATATTTAGAGTGTTAGGATTGGCTTATGCTGCAGTCGTTACTCACCAGTACTCCTTATAATATGAAGTTGATCAAATTCTTTATGACACATTTTCTCTACTAAAACTTGATTTGTGAATCTTTTGTAGAATTTGGGATACATTTGCTTAAACATTGTACATGAAGTAGTTTCTAATGCTGAAACATCTGCTTTTGTATGTGCCTTTTAAAAATTTCCTGTTGAATTTATAACTACTGGAGAATGTAGAACAATGAAAATGATTGTTTCGATATATGAGAACGTCTCAAGAGACTGAGCTGTTAGACGTGGAAACAAAAAGAATGAATATTTGATGTATTGTTATATTTTTTCCTATTTCCAGTCAAGAAATAACCTTATAGACTTGGGCCAGCTTTTATGAAAATGTCCCTCATCTTGGGTGTAGTTGAAGATCATTTTTAGGACTTCTGAAACACACAGTTTTCCCTTTTGCTCAGAGAAGTTCAGGTGAAATTCTGCTGAATACAGCCCTTGAAAATCGTCCACAACTTATCATCTGATAAGATACTCTATTGTTGTGTGGAGGAGTTGATTTCATTCACATCTACTGAAGGCCAGAAAGAAGAATGTTCAACTTCTGCAAGGGAGACATAGATCAGTGTGGTGAATTTCCAAATGACAGGACTAGTTCCCATAAGTTTGGGGACAATGGCGGCTGATCTGGTTCTGTGGTCTGTAAGGTCACTACCAACTATCAGCTGGAACCTTGTACTTTTTTAGTTGCTGTACTCTGGAGCTGCCTGAAGAGGGTCTGTAACGCAGGAACACACTCCGGAGGAGTCTGACTGCCACCAGCCCTAGTATCTTTCAGATCACCTTTGTCTAAAACATGCTGAGAGCAGCATTGCAGTAGTTCTTTGGGAATGAAGCTTATCCCGGGATGGGGGTCAAAGGTTGCATATTGGGTCGTGACTTTGGGCCTTATTCAAAACCTTGTATCAATTGAAAAAAATACCTACGGGATTTAAAGACGGTGTCACTTCATGTGGCTTGATGAATAAAAAAGCTGCTGGGCCCCTCCACGGCACCCCTGGGATCTGAGGGAGGAAGCCTGGTCTCTCTAGGACCAGGATTGCTGACATTGGCCTCCTGGAATGAATGGAAAGGTAAGGTGGATGAGTTGCCTATAAATAGAATGACTGATCCTGTTCTAGAATGGGTACATTGCCCTTAATGGAAATATTAAATATATCTGCCTGGACTTGGCTTTCTTCTTTGACTGTTGGCAGATGCTATATGATCCAAAGCCATTGGAACATTTCAGGATGCCAGCAACTCCATAGATGAGTCACAGGAAGCCACTGACAAATGGCCTTGGCTCCAGGCCCTTCTCCTGAAACAGAGCAAAGAAAGTGCTCCTTGCTTTCATCTTCTTTCCCATGGATGGACTGGAAACCCTGTTTATAAGTCGCACGGTCTCCAGTTTATCATTGCTCACTCTGAGTGGTGAGCCAGTTTAACCACTGAAGTAAATGATATGATGTTCTTCTACATAATCACAAATGGGCACAGCGAATTATTATATTTAAATAAATATCTTGATAATCAGACAAGGGATGATGCATGCTTCTTGATGTGAAAAGTTAACACAACAATGTACTGTTCTTCAGATGCATTTTATGAGACTGAAGATGCTTATTTGGCCAAGAATGAGCTTAATCTTATTTTTTGTTTAGAAAATTATTAAAGATAAATGGTTACTCACCAAAGCATGAGAAGTTATATTCCTTGGTAACGATGCTTTGAAACTCTCTTACTGTTAAGTGATCTGCCCTGAAAGTCTCTCTCTTGGCTCCTACAGAGAGATTCTGGAAGTTTTCTCGGGAGATCTGCCCCGACTGCACGTCCAGTCGCACTGTCGGTGCCCCAGCAGTCACCCCCGCGTCCACCCTTGGCTACAGCGGTACTGCATTCCCAACGGAGCGGAAGCCACAACCAGAAACAGAATGTTACGACTGGACCCAGACGCCCACCCTCTTTCTTTTATCAATGACAACAATACTGGCACTTCGTGGGTTTCACACGTGTTCACAAACATTACCCAGCTCGATGGAGGAGTGACGATTTCAGTGGATCTGGAAAACGGACAGTACGAGGTATGCAGGAGCAGCGGGTTACTTCCGATTACTGCAAACCTCACGTTCTAAAACAACACAAATGAGTTTTCACGCAGTTCTGAGGCCAGAAACGCAAAACCAAGGTGCTAGCGGGGTTGGCCTTCCTCTAGCATCCCCGAGGGGGTCTTTCCTTGCCTCTCCTGGTGTCATTTACATTGTGATTTCACCATGGAGCTTGTATCTCCATTTTCTCTCTTTCCTCGTTTGGAGGTGTGTGTCAATTATTTTTTCTTTTTAAAAACACCTGCCCATTGTTTTAATAGTAGAGGACTTCCTTAGCATGTGGAAAACCTTGGGTTAATCCCCAAAACAAAGTGAAACACCTACAAAAGGGCACTGTAAGGAACAACAACAACAAAAAAAAAACCACCTTTTTTCTTCATCATTGCATAATTTTTTGCATTTGGTTGATGATCTATTTGATATTTGAATTTATTTTTCTTTTGTATTATGTTTGTTTCAATTTACCATTTCAGTTTCAAATTTATATTAATTCTATTAGTTGTTTTATTATACTGATTTTTGCAAGTGTGTTTATAATTTATGTTTATCCTTTTATGTTTACTAATAATCATGGAAGTAGTGCTATACATTCACATCTTTACAGAAGATTTAATATTAATTTGCACTCTGATTTATAAAACTCTTGAAAAGAGAGACTATACAACTAGAAAGTGTGTTACTTTTACAGTAGATCTGGGAAATTTCTGTATGTTCAGTAAATGTTTGATAAGTGTAATTATGAGGAAGTATGCCATTATACTTAAACGTAACAGTTGCATGCATTGACTTATACTGATGTATCAAATTGTAACTTTATTTATAACAGTTATCCTGCCCATTTCAGGTGTTTTATATTGTCATTCAGTTCTCTAGTCCACAACCAACAGCAATAAAGATTCAAAGGAAGAAGGAAAGCAGCTTGGATTGGGAGGACTGGCAATATTTTGCTAGAAATTGTAGCACTTTTGGGATGGAAAACAATGGAGATTTGGAAAATCCTGATTCTGTCAACTGTCTTCAGCTTTCTAAGTACGAACATTTGAAAAACAATTAATGTTAATGAATTGGTGAAGTAGTAGTGACCTATAGATTAGACCACTTATTAAGATGGTAGAGACTTCTGTCTATCACCAGCATCCTTGAGGTAGATTTTCCAATATCCTTTCTCTAAATTGACTTTTAAACTATGTTTAGAGCTCTTCTAAAACTATTTAGTGTATGTCTTTGGTTACAATATCACTAGTGTTTTGTACTTTTGTACTTTCAGATTATTTAGTAAGTGCTCTCTGTTCTAAAAGATTCTGTTTGTTATTGAGCAAATGATTAGCGTGTATGGCTTTCTGTGATTCTTTGTCCACCAATGATATGGCATATTTTTATTTTCTTAGAATGCAGATTCTAAGCATTGGCTGATATTGCAATAATGCCTCAAAGATGTGATTTTTGTTTTATGGAAAATGTGAATAGACTTTTTGAATATGAATTTTCTTCCATCAATAGGTTTGCTCCATATTCCCGTGCTAATGTCACATTTAGCATCCTGAAACCTGAACGAAAATATCGTCCTGGATACAATGACTTTTATAATACACAATCCCTTCAAGAATTTATAAAAGCCACACAAATAAGGCTTCATTTCCATGGGCAGTACCATACAACTGATGCGGATGTCAACGTCAGACACAGATATTATGCAGTGGATGAAATCACCGTCGGTGGGAGGTAGAGTGCATTACTGAAGTTGAGAGTGGGGAATTCCACTATGAATTTTGTTTTTGATAATGTTTTTGTCGTACTTAAAATGCTGTAAATCTTTAGAGCAAAGTAGACTCTATGCTTTCTATTTTGAAATGATTTGTACTCTAAGGTCTTTTAGGAAGATGTAGAAGTAAGCCTTTTCTGCATATTATGTAGCTTTGTTATAGAATAGATTTCCCAAACTATTTGGCTGAGAGGGTACGAGTCTCTGAGGACTGAAGGGCATAGCTCAGGTGTAGAGCAGTTGCCTAGAATGCACAAGCCCTTGAGTTCTCTCTTCAGTAAGCCCTCCACAAATGCTATCACATATTAAATTTGACTTAGATATACTTTATCATATGTTGTTTACACTTTCTTGGTTTGTTATGAAATATGATTTTCATGTATTCTTGAAGGCAAAGAGTAGAAACTTGATTTGGGGTTGCAATGAGCATACCAGATAATCGATATGCCAGACGTGAGGCTTGATCTTTCCAAGTTCAAGGTTCCATAGGGAATGCATGTTGTTCTTTGTACTGTGCTCCTCATAGTTTATAAATTTCTGATCCTAACTGAGAGCAAAGCTCAGGCGTATAAAACTAGGCAGCAACTAATATGGAAATGTACATGGAAGTATAATTAAAGTGAGTTGTTGTAGAGAATGATGTGCTTATGAATCTTTAAAAACAGACCCAAATACCCATATGTAAAGTTGGTTTGTTAAGTAATTGCACAACGATAAGGTAATACTATCCAGTAATCACCACCTGATTTTGGGAAAATGAACAAACGGTTGAAATTGTATTTGCAGTAGTGTAGGCCGATGCAGTGCCTTGACAACTTCGGCACACAATTAGAATAGGCGCGCACAAGCCCAGCCCCCTTTCCAGGGTGGCTTGAAAATTATCATAGCAACACAGTGTTGTTCAGATATCTGTGAGAGTCCTTCCAGTGCCTTGGGATTGATTAAATGAACAAGCACACAATAACAGAGAAACTGATTGTCATGCTGATCGCAGGTGTTCGTCTTCCTTGCTAGGGTCACATGGTGTATATTTTCACAGGCTTGTAAGTAGATCCACAGTTAACTTGGTGATGTTGATGTTCACAGGTGTCACTGCCATGGTCACGCCAACAGATGTGACACAATGAGCCGGCCGTACAGGTGCCTCTGCTCCCAGGACAGCTTCACTGAGGGACTTCACGTGAGTGCTGTTTTATACACAGAAATCTAAAAGTCAATCAATCAATCAGTCAACCAATACAGTTAATGTGAATTCAATGAACTGAATTTTGGTTTCACTGTGAGTACACATAAAAATAAATTTAAAATGTCAATTATTTCACAGAAAGTTTTAGTAGCGAAAAATAAATGCTAACAATGAAGTCAAAAATTGTATTTTTAGACATAACCTGATAGCTGAAACAAAACTGTAATGCTTTCCTTTCCTTTCTCTCTCTTTCTTGGTTTTATCAACATGATCATATGTCATAAAACAATATATAAGTTTTTCGGTTAGCCTGATGCTAAATTAAAAAGTTATTTGGTTCTTATATCTAGAAGATATTGACCTAAAAGTAAATATAATATAAGGTTTTTTGTTGAAGAGCAAGCTGCATGTTTTTGAGACAGTTAAGATTAATATATTGCTAAATTCAAGAATTTTATCTAATTAATGTGAAAATCTGCAGTAAGATGACCTAGGAGCTATTTTACTTTAGTTTGTCTTTAATTGTCTAGAGAAATCTCAGAGTTTTGATGGAAATTGTGTGTGTCTATAGGAGTAGCAGGAAATGGGTTTGTTATGAAATATGATTTGTAAAAATGTAAAACTAACAGACACTAGTTGATAGATGTGTTCGGCATAAACATTAAAAATAGCACTGTGAAAGAGGGTACGGTGACAGTAACAAACACACCAATAGTGAACATAGGTAAGAAGGGGTCCTTAGTAATAGGTGCTTTAGTAAATTGGCTGCAAATTTTTATGGAAATAAAGGTAGAACCCTATCTCCTCTTGTGTACAAGAAAATTGACATGACACTGAAATATAAACATAACTGTTAGTTTATTAAAGATGAGAAAAATATTTTAAATCCAAAGTGAAGGCCTTTAGAAACTAAACAAATGAAATACAAGCAGAGACCAATATATTTGGAGCAAAGAAGGAAGTGAGTGTATTCTGTCATATGAATATCTAAAATTCGGGATATCATAGGGACTAATGTAACTGCCATGCAGTGACAGGCGATGGATTAATATTTATGTCATAGTAAAAGGTAAAGAGTAAGTTTGTTGAAAGGAACAGTGAATACTGAATTATTTTGTCAGTCTTCTATGCCTTTGTCTGGAGATCTGAGGAAATACTTTGAAGATAACAATATGTAATACAACAACTATTGTTAATTTCCTATCATCTTGTTTTAAAATTCTGTATCATTTTTATTGTTTTTATTGTTTTGTTTGGGGCTTTGTGTTTGTTTTTTGTTTGTTTTTGTTTTTTTCTCTTTAAAATAAAATTTAAAAAATAATAAAGATCCTCAATATATGAAGAACACTTAAAATATTAAGAAAAATATAGCAACTCAATAAAAAAGAGTCAACACATGAACAAATGATTTTGAAAGGAAGAAAAGATAATATTCAATCAACACTTGAAACCCAGTCTCAGTTTTAATCAGGAAGGTACAAATTATAATAAAATAGTGTTTTAAATCTCTTAAATTAGCAGAATGTTTACAGACTGATAACATTTACAGTGGGACTTGCAAGACTATGATATTGTATTTTTTGTTTTGTTTTGTTTTTTGTTTTTTGTTTTTGGTTTTGTTTTTTTTTTTTCCAGTACCAGGAATCAAACTCAAGACCTTGCACTTGCCAGGCAGTCACTGTGCCGCTGAGCTAAATCCCCAGCCCCCAAGACTACGATATTGTATATATCACCTCCAGGACTGCCTATTATTACAATATTTTTGGAGCATAAATTCACCATGTCTATTAAAATCTGAGTCACAAATACAGTGATCTACATTATACAATTGCTGTTATTTCAACAAAGCAATTCTCCAGGATTAAGTGTACAGAATAGCTTTGTTTATATTCTTTTTGTTACATAAATATGGACCTATATAAGGTATGATAAAATATGATAAATGTTTAAACTTTTAAAAATTACAATAAAGGACACATATCCATTAATCCCCTCAAAATCTTCCCCCACTTCAAGCACACTTATCCATCATGTTTGCTGTTTTCTGAAGCAGCCCTGCAAGTTGTCGTCTGTGTCTTTATTGCACTGTTCTCGGTACCTTGATATCCGGAATCCATTTAAAACTTTTGTTTCATGGTCATTTTGACTTTATGGAAGTCAGATGTCCTGGGGTATGATTCAGTGAATAAGGTGGGTGAGAATACAATGTGACGTTTTTATTTGATATACATTTCAGTAAGTGCTTGATCGACAATTGGTAATGAGAAAAAAGGGCAAATACTTATTTTTTAAGCTTATTACAGCAACAGGTACACTCTGCGATAATCAAAAAATTCCAAAATATTTGCCTCATTTCAAATACATTTATTCCATCATTTTTGGTAATGTGTCTTTTTTTGTGGATGTGGTGCTGGGGATCAAACCCAGAGCCTGTTCATGTAAGGCAAGCACTCTACCACTGAGCCACATCCCCAGCCCTTTGACAATGTGCCTTTTGACATAAGCCTTTTAATATTTAAACATTCACTGTATCTTTCGATCATTCCTTGCACATAAATGTATTTTAGCTTTTCTTTTTTTAATTTAAAGATTGAAAAAACTAACAGAACAACAATGAGGACAAAATCAAAACAACACAAAAACAACAAAAAAGATACATGACCTGAAAACAAAATGATAGCAATTAACAGTGGTTGCTACATTACATACTGTTATCTTCAAAGAAGTTGCTCAGTCCACCAAACATAAGAATGTAAGGTTGATCAAACAAAGACAGTAATAAGTAAAAAAAAAAAAAAATTGGAAATGATGCACAGCTTCACCACTCAAGATGGTAGGAGTTCAATAATGGTTCTTATACCGCATATTGCTGTTTTCAGATCAGTCATTCAGATTGCCAGATTCAAGCGTGCAAAATTGGTCAAGAAAAAAGAAAATTTTAAGCATTGACTGTTCCTTTCAGTAAACCACAGACATCAGCAATACACCTACCCCAGCTATTTTGGTATATACATATAAATTTTGTTTTTCATTTTAAGGAGAAAAGAAAAGAAACCAAAATAACAAAAACAAATGCATAAACAAAACAGCATAAAGGACAATACAAATGATACAGAATTTCAAAACAAGATGATAGGATATTAACAATGGTTGTCATATTACATAATGTTATCTTCATATTTTAGCTTTTCAACAGTAGCACTGTGTCATAGTCCTGGTAGGACTTATGACCTTTTCTACCTCCTAGACCTTGTCCTGTGCTTGTGTTTTAATGTATCAAGTCATTTCGTTGTGCAGTGTGGTTTGGAATATTACAGAATACCTCACTTTTTAAAAAATCATCTGACGAGTTTTTGGCAAACTGCCTTTCTGTCCTCAGATTCTTAATCTGATCTGTTTTGCTTTTGACTATAATATGAATGTGTGCAGTTTAATAGCAAATACATTGTCTAAAATGCAGACTTTTGTGCACACATTCATGAGGAGGTGCTGCTCCTACTTCAGCTCGGAAGCACTGATTTGTTTATGGCTTCCATTCTTATGTGTGGAAACCAAACCTTTCATATTCTTCTTTAGCTATCCCATTGAATTTATTCCCCAGATGAATGGTTATATTGATGTTCATTTTAGTTTACTTATACACTAGGTCTCTACCACGAGTCAATAATTGCTTTTGAAGAAGAAATCTTTTATGTTGTTTTGGACTTCAAATGTCTGGTGTCTTCCAATTTAATTCTATGAATATATCATGAGAAAAAAATCTTTCTAGAAGACCAATTTTAATAAGTTTCATTGTATTGGTGACTATATTGTTACAAAGAGGAAATTAATTCAGTTAACTTGGCTGATTGCCTCTTGAGCCATAACTACGTGTTTGCCTTTTTGCCAGCATGACTTGTTCTCCGTTTTACAGTGACATTCATTGTTTTTCCCAGTGTCTTCTGATAGTGCTCAAGATGGACGCTTCTTGCCTGATCGTGTAATCAATGATTTCTTCCATTAACTTTGCCCTTCCTCCCAAACCAACTAGCCATCCAATTAAAAACTGCTCTGGGATGGATGTAATGAACTGATGGATCTAGAACACGCAAGCTGTGGTCTGACACCGGCACCTTCTCATGGTGGCACTAGCCATTCCTTCCTTACGACGTGGAGCTCTTCCAGCCTCAGCTATTCTCTGCTGACTAGCTTGTCCAGGCTCCCTTTGGTCTCTGTCCCTCTCTTTCTTCCTCTTGGTGGCCTATCCCATTTGTTTCTTTCTCTCTGATCACTCTCAGTGAAGTGTTGGCTATTTTACGATTCTCTGGTGATTTCATGCTTTCCCTTAAAAATAGAGGCATTAAGTGAATCGAGCTTCGTGATTGGTTGCAGAAGTCAAGTCAGACTTTTCAGACTTGGTCTCAGGTGGTGACTGTTGGATTATGAACTAGTGAGCTAATTAACTACAATTTAGGTTGGGAAAGTATTTTAATGCTTCTTATTCAGACGTGAAGTATCTTTGGAAAACAGAAATGAATAAGTAGACTTGTGTTATTTAACTCCTTGTCATATTTTTGTTAAGTCATGACTTAAGCCATAAATAAAAAAGCAACAAATACAATTAGCAAAGTTTGGCAAATATGGCTGAAAGGGAAAAGTCAATAGACTGTTAAGTTGAATGATGTGTCTGTCTCTTAATATTTCCAAGCATGTGTTAAAAATGAAAAATGATTTTATAATGGTGTTTATAATCATGACATTCTCATTTTGCTATCATTCAAAGTATTTTAATATATGTGACTTTTCTGTCTGAGAAAATTGTCTTAGGATCAGCTGAAAATATATTTATTCTGGTGCTTTTCTTGTTCTACTTTGCAAACGAATATAATTTAAAATAAGCCGTTCATTTTCTATTGGAAATGATGTTCTTTTAAAAGACCTGGATATAGTCCCAAAAGAATGTCTTCAATTCACAGTATTATGCCAACCATTAATAATATTACTCAATAAACAGG